AAAATATAGTTTTTTTCCATCGTAAGAATTCTTAACCTCTGGAAACCTCCATTTGTAGTGACAACTAAAAGTAAGCAATTAATGTTCTTCATACTGGGAAATTTATGAATGCATTTCGTGACCCTTAGAAACAAACATAGGCTCTTTCATTGGCAAATATATTCAAAACTTTTAAGAGGCATACTTCTTTTTCTTAAAGATTTTTATTGGGGGATTGGGGAGGGGAACAGTGTTGGGAAATTGGAGAAGGGGAACATTGTGTTTTTCCGGGACCCATCAGCTTCAAGTCAAGTTGTCGTCCTTCAATCTTAGTTGTGGAGGGCGCAGCTCAGCTCCAAGTCCAGTCGCTGCTTTCAATCCAGTTGCGGGGGGGCATAGTCCACCATCCCATGTGGGAGTTGAACCGGCAACCTTGTTGTTAAGAGTATGCACTCTCACCAGCTCAGCGGCAGCTCAGCTCGGGTGCAGCTCACTGGCCCATATGTGGGAATCGAACCAGCAACGCTGTTGCTCAGAGCTGGTTCTCTAAATCAACTGAGCCACTCGGCCGGCCCCAAGAGGCATATTTCTAATAAAGCAAAAAACATATTCATTAAATTCAAATATATCTTTGAGCTTCTCTGTAATAAGCCAAAAGTAGATGAATTTAGATGAATAATGTTTCAGAATTTCATGTAATTTCAAAATACCTAGGGGGTGGCCTGTTAGCTCAGCTGGTTAGAACACAGTGCTCATAACACCAAGGTTGCCGGTTCAATCCCCATGCTCTCCACAACTTGACTGAAACAACTACTTGTAGCTGATGGGTCCTGGGAAAACACACTGTTCCCCAATTAAAAACAACAACAAAAAAAACCACTATTCAATAATTTTTCATCTTTTAACTTAGTAAAAACTGTAATGTTTCAAATTACCAAAAGAATTTGGGGAAGAAACATGTTTAAGCATGTATATATCACATGACATAATTATTACTGAAAAGTTTTATCAACAACCTTTTATTTTAGTTACATTCATTTATTACTTCTTAATAACTCTATGAGATTTCAAAGTCAGTTATTACCCAAGCTATTTTCTTGACAAATTACATAACAAAGATGATTTATTTTTTGTAAACCTAGATAAAACAAAAATACCATTTTAATATCAATAACTAGAAGACATATCTATTTGATCAAAACTTAAACCAGCTCTAATACAAATATTTTCCTAGATCACATGATCCCTGAAAAGTACTTAGATTAATTTCGATTATATTTTTCTTAATTTATATAAGTGTTTAATCCCTTCAAGCCAATTAAATATTATAAACTAGTAATACCATTTGGAGGCAAAAACCCCACCATATCATATATAAAAACATAGACATATACACATAAACAGAATTACTAATAGTTGCAGAGAAGACAAGATTTTTCATGTGAAATGGGGTGGGGGTCTGGCTGGTGACACCAGCCTCTTATATTTTTAAAAGTGCCTTTTTTTTCCTTTCTTTCACCTCAGCATCAGGCTGTACTGGTTTCTGATAACTCAGCAGAAGGGCCTGGGCACGGGCTGCTGAAACTCTTTTCTTTTTCTTTTCCTATCAGACTTTGAAAATTCAACTTCCAATTCTGCTAAATTTCTGACCAGTTAATTATATTTCTGAGAATTCTCATGCACCTGAGGGAAGGAAGAGCAGTGGACATGCATTACCTGATTGCTTGGACCTTTTGCTAGTTT